CATATGCAAGACGATGGTTCTGCTCCATAGGAGTATCAATAGGCTTACAACCTAACATTCCTGCCTCAGATAACACATCTAAAGCATATTTACGCTGAGACAAAAATATACCTTCCGGACCACGAGCAACTTCAATACCCAAAAAATACTTCAACACACCAAGGTCTTTTATATGAAAGCAAGTACTCAAATATTTTTTTAAATGAATAATTGCATCATGAGACGAACCGGCAATAATAAGATCATCAACATACACAAGAACATGAAGGGAGACCGTACCCTGAATATAACTGAACAAAGAATAATCTGCATATGATTGCTTGAAACCATAAGATTTCAAGGCTTTAGACAATTTATAAAACCACTGTCGAAGAGCCTATTTCAGACCATATAGAGACTTACACAACCTACAAACTTTCCTTGGAGTAGGACAATTATAACCCGGAGGTACCTACATATATACTTCCTCCTCCAAATCACCATGAAGAAAGGCATTACGAACATCCATTTGATACAACTCCCAATTTAAAGAAGCTGCAACCAAAAGAAAAAGTCTAACAGTCCCCATTTTTGCCACAGGGGCAAAAGTCTCATTATAATCAACACCTGCAACCTGTCGATTTCCATACACAACAAGACGACCTTTAAGTCGTTCTACTTCACCTGTAGAAGTATATTTAATTTTATACACCCAACCACTACCAATAGCCTTCTTATCTGGAGGTAAGTCCTCCAATGTCCACGTGCCATTTCGTTCAAGAGCATCAATTTCTTCTTTCATCGCCTTACGCCACCCTTCATGTTTCACAGCTTTCCTAAACGAGGAAGACTCTTTACCCTTCGTAACTGCTGTTAGAAAACACTTGTGTCTCATAGAAAAATTGTTATAATCAACATAACAAGCTATATCAAATTGTTTACCTGAAAAACGTGATTGAGAAGCGGGTGCAGTAGTTGTTGATGGAGTGGGGTCTATTGCTTGACGAACAACTGTATTAGTCACGTAATCACAGAGCTTCGAGGAAGGAATTTTGACACGATGACCACAATCCAACACTTCACCATTATTGGGAGTAATACCCCCTGCCACATCACTATGAGCACCCGTACTCCCCCTTGAGTCAAGGGAGGTAGTAGCAATATTATCACCAAAAGAAACATCACTAGGCACATGCAAAGTTTGAGTACCCTCACTGACTTTAGGTGATTCAACAGTAGCATGCAATTCATGCATTAAATCCACATCACAAGCACTACTACCATCAGATGCAGTAAGTGAAAAGGCATGCAAATCACTAACATAATCTTCATCATCCCGTAAACGAACCTGGCTAAAATAATTTTCCCACTGCACCTTTTCTAACTCATCAAATTGCTCAATAAAAGGAAATTTGTCTTCAACAAATTTGACATCACGACTTATAATAAATTCCTTAGACTCCAAATTATAAAACCGCCAACCTTTTTTACCATACGGATAACCAACCAAAAACACCTCCTAGACTTAGAGTCAAATTTATCCTTAGTACGAGAATTATTCACCACATAGCTCAAACAACCAAAAACACGCACATTGTCATACAAGGAGGTGTACCAAACAAACATTCATGAGGCATCTTGCCCTTTAAAATAGGAGTCGGAGTCAAATTAATAAGATGAACTGCAGCCAAAACACATTCTCCCCAAAAATACTTAATTAGGTAAATTAGCTTGAAAACGTAAAGCCCGAGCAACATTTAAAATATGTTTATGTTTTCTTTCAACACGACCATTTTGTTGAGCGGTATCTACACACGAAGTTTGATATACTATGCCTTTTTTGTCAAAGAAAGGTTTCAAACTCAAGAACTCTTGTCCATTATCACTCCGTAACACTTTAATGTTTTTATTAAATTGAGTTTTGATTAAAGCATAAAAGTCACGAATTAATTTCCCTACTTCATATTTTCCAACCATCAAATAAACCCAAGTAGCACGAGAAAAATCGTCAACAATAGTAAGGAAATATTTAGCATTACAGCTAAATGATACTTTACTTGGACCCCAAATATCATAATGTATCAAATCAAATAAACCAGATGCTTTATTCATACTTAAAGGAAAAGAGTTACGGGGTTGTTTACCCATAAAACAAATATGACAATCAAACATACAACACTTTTTATTCTTACTACTACTAACTACTCCAGGTAAGGATAAAACAACTTTCATCGAAGGATGACCTAAACGCCTATGCCACAACATACTTGCATTTGAAACTGCTACTGAATTTGTTTGAAAATTACGAGCACGAACCGGCCGGAAGAGATAGACCCCATTATACTGCACCCCCGCTCCAATCAGGTTCTCCAAAGTGCGGTCCTGAATAGTACATAGCTTGTTGGTACAAGATATATACAAATATATATACAAAATATATCTCACAACATAATTATATCCTAACAACCTCCCAACTTTGAAACTTCAAAAAAGTCAAAACTCAACATGAGTAACAACTTCAAATTCAACTCCAACTTTATTAGCAGTGTACCCATCATTTTAGACTATAATATTGCAAACCGTTGAATTTTCTTCACTGAAATAACTTCTTTCTAAACTCAAAAGTTAATTCCCAAATGAAAATTAATAAATAAAAAGGTCTCTTTTGAAATCGTCACTTCTTATGTATAATTCCTTTAATTTATCTTACCAAAAACAGAACACAGTACATGCACTATGTAGAGGTTGAATAAGTCCTCAGTGGATTAGTTGCAAACTAAATCCTTATCACTAATCAACCCTCATTAATTTTGTTATCTTATTTGTTAGTTTGTTAATTGTACTCATTTTTATGTCTTATTAGATTCATATACTTGTAATAATCATCTTATACAATAATACAAGTATAAATTTTTTAATTTCTCCTATGTTTTAATTAATCTTGTTAGATAAACATGTCAATCTTAGGCTATGATAGCAATAATACTAGCCATCGCAGCAGCAATATGAGCAGCCATTCATTCTTTGAAATAAAAAAACAAGCATCTTCTTACATAAAAGAGAAGATTAAAACTGCCAGATTGGTTCTCACTGATGTTACACCAGCACAGTTGTAAGTTCTTACATATTTTCTTTAACTCTTCGTAGGTTTGTTTTTCGGCTTTCTTTGTTAGGGTGTGTTTTTTGATTGTTGGGGACTTTTAAACAGGATGACAGAGGAAGCAACAACTGCTAATCCATGGTCACCGGATACTCGGATCCTAGGACTAATATCAAGGGCTGCTTTTGAAGTTGATGATTATTGGAGAATTGTAGAAATTCTGCATAACAAGTATGTCAAGTTTCTTGTTCATCATACTCCTAATCATTTTATGTATTCATTATTTCTATATCTATCTTAGATAGTGTAAGGAACTCATAGTTGATCTCGGGGATCAACAAAATAGTCCAATCTTGACTTATTTGGTGGTACATCATATAAGCTATATGAATACATTCTTGTGGTGGTACTGATCAGTGGCTTGTGGTGTTTGCGATTAACAAAATTTTGCCAATCCCCGAGATCAACTTGTCAGCCCTCACACGGTGTGCTTAATTTCCCATGATCTGAAAGATATTTCCATCCCTTTATTTCATTTGTGCCTTTGTGGTCAGATTATCAAAATTTGACAGAAAGAATTGGAGGGAATCTTACAATGCTTTGACAGTATTAGAGCATTTGTTGATTCATGGGCCAGAAAGTGTTGCAGAGGAGTTTCAAACAGAGAAATTCATCATCAATAACATGGAAACTTTTCAGCATGTTGATGAAAAAGGGTAGGCAGACTAATGTCAAATAACTCTTCTATGCATATGTCATCTGAAAATATAACATATAGTTCAGTAATATGCAGGTTTAATTGGGGCCTTGCTGTGAGGAAGAAATCAGAGAGAGTATTGAAGTTGCTTGAAAAGAGGCCTCTCCTCAAGGAAGAAAGAGAGCAAGCCAGAAAGCTAACAAGAGAGATTAAAGGGTTTGGTAGCTTTCCTGGAAGATCAGCCTCCCTACTTGAAGACTCGTTGACTACGTATGGAAGGAGCCATTCCCAGTTCAATGAGCATGGAAATGAGGGGAATCCACCTGAAAAAAATGGTTTCAATCAGCCTCGAGTAATCTTTCTAGATCATGACGGTAAGGCTGACAAACCCAGAACTGTAAAGAGGTTTCTGAAAGAAAATAAGGCACCAAAAAATGAGACAAGGAAAGAAGATTGGCTTGGTTGGAGCAATAGTACGGGGGAGAAAAATCTGCTCTTGAATGAAAATAGCAGTGGGGTGCTTATAGAAGAGGAAGATCATCCTTTTAATGATAGTGAGGAACATAATAAAGTGTCTTTGTTGGCTGCTTCAAAAGAGGATTAAGAACAGATGAATCTGTTTTCTGTATTTTAGTTACAGGTCCTGCACACGCAATTTGCAGGTTGTATATCATAAACAGAACATGTTAGCTTGTCTAAAATGTTAACCGTTGGTTATCAGAGATCTCAATTTTTGAAAATCGGTATGCTGTAGAATGCAAGAATAAGAGGTATCAAAACTGTTATTGTACATTTCCCTTTTTTGTATTCTTGACAGTTTGTGCTGTAATTATGAGATGCTTCTAGCAAAGAGGGAAAGGGAGGGAGGAGGGGTGACAGTTTAAGAATATGCCCATAGAGGTAGAAGATTATGAAGTTGATAGCTTCATAACCACGCATTATAGTTGCACATTTCGGAAAATCTCTCCATTCTAAGCAGACTTGCAGTATCAAAAGAGTAACAATGCATGAGCATTTTAAGTGAAATAATACAAAATGAGAATAAAATATATTTAAATGGATTAAAACTATGGAATAGAGTAAATTCTACAGGCGGTATATAGGCCGAAAAAAAATTATATATATATATATATATATATATATATATATATATATATATATATATATATATATATATATATATATATATCAATGCTTTTAGAGTTTCAGTGATATGATATCAGATTAAGATAATGCTAGTATATTGTATTGCACATACAGTATACAAAGTACAACAAATTTACCCTGCAAAAGAAATGGCACTCGGTATAAATTGTCAATAAATAGTGTTTATCCTATAGACAGTAATACAATATATACTCAATCTAACTTTAGATTTCTTGGTTTTACACAACAAAGGAACACACAACTTCTTACTCCCTATTCTTACATTCTCCTGGTTGCTCGTCAGAGGCAAAACTTTCAGATACAGGGACATGTATGATTGCACCATCTACAACTCTGGAAGCAATACCTAGTTAAGTCGTTAGTAATACAACTGTACAGGGTTATTAACATAGATTAATTGCACGCACATGTGAACAATCAATATTTGCACATCCATTCTTGAGCAGCTAGTCTCAAAGAATTATTTGGAGTAAGATGCAGATGATCCAATCTCAAATTGGTCATAGGAGAAGTTTCTCGACCATTTTCTAACCACTCACGAATGGCCTCTCCCTCATAGGTAAACCCATCAGCTGCTACTTGAGGGTCGCACATGATTTCCTGAAATGAAATGGTGAAAGAGTTTAATGGAAGCTTAGGCATGCCAAATATATACATACAGTTTCAGGTTATGCAAAGATCAGCAGAACACATATATTAATGGAAAAATAAGGAGGGAAAGAGAGATGATGCATATGATTGTCACATATTAAACAAGCTCTTCATGTCACAGCTTAGGTACATGGACAAACTAACGCAGAATTACGTAAAAATCCCCTCAACAGATGAAAATAAATGAGCTAAACAGACTGGTTTTTGTTGTTTTAACTACTATAATATACCTCTACTATCCTAACCCTAACTATACCAACCCCTACTATTTTAACCCTACTATCTAACCATTACTATATGAACCCATATAGTAATTCCTACTATACAACCCCTTCTATATGAATCCCTAATATCCCTACTACCTGACCATTACTATATGAACCCTTAATATCCCTATCTCAACTCATACTATATGAACCAATATTACCCTATACCGTAATATCCTTAATAACCCTTTCTATCCTACCCCTACTATACTAACCCATACCTACCTCAACCCCTACTACCCTACCGCAACCCTTACTATCCTAATTCCTAACTAATACTATCTAACCCCTACTATATGGGTTGGGATAGTAGGGGTTAGATAGTAGGGGTTTGTGAGGGATAGTAAGGGTTAGATAGTATGGATTAGGATAGTAGTGGTTCATATAGTAGGATTTAGTATAGGAAGGGTTAGATAGTAGGGGTGCGTATAGTAGGGGTTAGATAATATGGGTTAGGATAGTAGGGGTGAATTGTATAGTAGGGGTTAGAATAGGGATAGTAGGGGGCCAAAATGTGTAGTAGGGGTTATGAACGGATAGTAGGGGTTCATATTATATGCACCCCTATTATATGAACCCCTACTATCCTAACCCCTACTACATTAACATCACCCCTTTTATTAAAAAAATTCCATATACACTAGTCACATAACTTGAAAAATTCAAGATAAAAACTCCATACTGCAAACTCAGAAGTAACAGATGGTATGCAATTATCTAACTGACCTGAAGGATTGGGCAAAGAAAGAAAGATGGCACCATCCGCTCTTTTGAGGCATGGAGCTGTTGAAGCTCTTTCACCAGAGAGGGTGTCAGCTCTGGCCTAACCCGACTATTCTGTTCACAGAATCTCAAAGCCACATCAGTCAATTTTTCTGCCACAAATGGTCCCCATTCCCCTGCAGATGAATCCAGGATTGAATCTAACTTTCCACTGGAAACTGCTCTACGGATGCGTGTTACCAATCCTACTGGAGGCTGTCCAGTTAGTAGCTGCAATATAATGACGCCAAATGAGTATAAATCGGATTTCGTTGACAATTTGCCTGTTCTATGAAATTCTGGGTCTCTATATGGGTAGGCGCCCTGGGGATCAGGATAATGGCTATAGCTAGAGGAACTCAGGTTATCATGTGACAGTAACTTGGAGAAACCAAAATCACCAATTTTGCAGTGTAGATCAGAATCTAGAAGGATGCTTTCGAGTTTCAGGTCACCATGGATTATCTTTTCCGGATGCGAGGTATGAAGAAATAAAAGGGCAGTTGAAATCTGAGAGATAATTCTAGCTCGGAGCTTCCATGAAAGAGGTGTAATGTTGTTTTTCTGAAAGAGACGCCATTGGAGAAGCCCATTGGGTACAAAATCATATACAAGAGACCAGGCCTCTGGACATACACCAATTAAAGTCACCAAATGAGGGTGTCGTAGCTTGCCGAGAGCCTGAACCTGCAAAGGTAGCCAGTATCTAAGTTTCATGTTCCTCTAAATTTCGATTGTTAATGATCTTTGCCTCTGATATAAAGAACGAAGAAAACGATGTTCTCAGAAAGCAAAGAGCTTCTGCAAAATAGGTTGAGCTTCTAATTAATAGCCCCATGATTGCATATGTCATTGATTCATGGTAATTCAGACTCAAGCGGCACATCAAAAAAAGATCTAATCCAACATTGCAAGATATCTTTATTTGCAGCAAAATATAGTAAGGAAATCACCATTAAGATTGTGAGCTGCGACACTTTTGGCTGAGAAGAAGACTGCTGGTGCAAATTGAAATTTCATTTGACATATTGTTGTGATGTTTGTCTCAAAAATGAATAGAGGAATGCATGTGTATACATGCAGACACACTGTGTAGCATATATAGAAAGAAATGAGAAGAAGAAAAAAAAACCTGTTTCTGAAATTGTGATGGGCCTTGGATGTTGTGTGCATGGAACCTTTGTATGGCAACAGTTTTACTCAGCAGTTCTCCCTTGTAGATGCAACCATATCCCCCTTCAACTAGCTTAAAGCTATCTGAAAAATTGCATGTCGCAGTTTGCAGATCCAGTAGAGAAAATTCCACCAACTCTGGCACGTCATCCAGAAGGCCCCCATATCCATGACCGTTCGAACCACCCGTACGCCTGCGACTTCTCCACTTCTCAAGCCAACGTTCAGCTTCTATTTTCTGTCTTTCAATCTTTTGTTTTTCTTGACGTAAACTTGCAATACAAACTTGGACAAGTTTCAACTCCCCTGCTGCCTCATCACAACGGCGGTTGGCCTCCTGGACACGACTATCAAAAACAGCTACATTCCTCATAGTCTTCTGGAGCTCTCCTGTAACTTCTAGTCTTTCCTCTAACAACCTTTGTTGTTCATCCATCAAGCTTCTTAGAGAATCTTCAGCTTCCTCCCTAAGTTCAGCTTCACGAGTTTGAACTGATTCAAAGTCCTTCACCTAAGGAGACCACACAGAATTTGAGATACTTCACAAATAAGGGGAGTGAAAAGATGATTACATGAGATCTTGTGGTTGATTACAACTTATAGCAGAAACTCTCAGATAAAAAGACAAAGCTCATAAGTATAAGCATTAGGTATCTCTTTTCATTCTGAATAAATGTTTCATTAAGCATAAATTCAGTCCAAAATCAGTCTGTCCTCAATTCTGCCTCTTACTTTCAAGTTTCAACAATAGTGAAAACTATTACCACAGCATAAGCATAATGAATTCAACTCTATATAAGACAAATAAAATGCCAACTCTAACAGTATCAGGAATACCTGTCTGATAAAATCTACAGAGTAAACACGTTTTTTAATGAGGAAACAGTGCAAAGAAAAGAATTGATTTTATAGCATCAATAATAGTTATTAGAACTAGGTTAAGATCTGATAATTATATGTGGAAGTTGTTAGACCAGGCCAGTTAGTTGAATTCCTTAAAAGTTAAATCTGAATGTTATCATTTTCATAGAAAGCACAACTTATAAAGACAAACTATTGAAACTGTTATCAATGTTTATATTCATGGTCAACTTCTGACTTTAGGAAAGTAAATACTCTGTATTTATTAAATGCCAAAATTCCTAAGCAGCAACCAAATAATGGTCAGAACTCAGAAAATCACCTTCCTCATAGCCTTCAATGCTTCAGCTTCCAGTTCCTCGCGCTTCAATATTTCTAAGCATGCTTCATTTTTTGAAGTTTCAACCTCTGCTTTTGCTTCCAACAGCTGACCATATAAATGATCATCCTCCAATTTGAAGCCAGAATCACAGGAAACCTTTTTTTCCATGGATGTACTTGATCCAGAATCATTGCCGGTTGAGCTTCGAACATATCCAGGGTTCAAAGTGTTTTCTGAACTAGGTAATAACAAATCTTCATCAGAGGGATCATTCTGATTCAAATCTTTCATCTCAGAGCATTGCATGCTTAGGCGAGAAGAACTACCACAGCGATCAACTGGATTGTATACACAATCACTATTCTCATATGGTAAAGATTTTGACCTTAAACCATCTGTCTGACAAGTTGTAACTTTCTCAAATGCTTCTTTTGTCCATACATGCTTCCCTTTATGGATAAACCACATCTCGCAAAATGCTGGAGCACTATTGGCAGCATAAGTTGCTTTAGGAGAATGCTTTTTCACCTTCACGCAACTGCACCATATAATTTGAGCACAATCAGATAAATATTTGAATGTCAATGACAAACCCCCACCACTAGGGACCTAGGTAAACACTTAAGGAAAAGGAGAATTGTACAAAGGCTGGAAAAAATCAGCATTGAGATATAGTAAGTTACTGGAAAATGCATTATTTATACACATATATCTCAAACATTCATGGTGTCAGTCCTTAGTCCTAAAGAAAAGAAAACTCATAAAATTCAGGGACTGACCCCATAACGAGCTTCTGCATGCCATGTTTCATGACCAGACCCATGAGTCCCTTATGAACTTGCTCATCTTCGGTGATAATACTGCTTGCTCTTACCTGCAAAAAACAATCACCACATCCAGTAATTTTTTACAAAGTACTGCTATGGTTCATCAGATTAACAATATTTTATTACATTATGATTTAGAAAAGACATAGGAATGAGCTGGCAAGGGGGAAAATGAATATATCTTAAGAATACGAATAATTTAAAAGGTGGGTCATGGGAAAGTTGAAGCATGTGTTTGCTCCTTATTTGCACTATAGCAAATTAGAAACAAAGAAGAAGAAATACTTCATATTTATTGCCTTCTAAACAAAAAACAGTAGCTGGAGTTGATTCCATTAATAAGACAAACCATTCGTTTACTCAGACAATCAAGCTTTAATTTTGCAGGTTCTAGTAAAGCTATGCAACCACCTTAAATAATATTGAAGAGGAACTAGTCATATAACAGAAAATGCAAGTTCAATATTAATCAATTAGAAGAGAGAGGACTTTAATTAAATCAATGTACTCAACAAATTCTATACTTAAGACTATCATTACCCTCTATCAAGCCTCAAAGCAATAAACTTTAGTTTCAAGCTATGCAAATCAGCCCCTAATTTGAACAGGAGAATTCACCTTGGCTCTATAGCAAAAGTCCAAGTAAGCACGGATAAGTTTCTCCATTTTTCCCCTCTCCTCATTCCTGTATGCAGTCACCACTACTGCATTTGCTTGAGTTGCTGGTAATTTTCCCACTGCATCACAGAAAAACCAACAAAGATAATAGAACAGTCAAATAACAATCTTGTCGTCATAAGTTGTAGGCTTACATGTATCACGAGACATACTCATGTTACAGAAAACAAAATTTTGTATTAATTCATGTTTCACAAAAAATGAGCGATCCTATCTACATTCTTTAGGATTAGTTAGGACACTCACTATTTTAGACTCCATATTTCTTACTGCGTATAATATTATGGTGATTATTGTGAACATCAGAATGAAACTTCTCCATCAAAGACGCAAAACAGATAAGAAAACGCCAAGCAAACCTTAGAGTTCACCCAATAGACATTGCTTTGATAATCTTTTAACCAATTTTAATGCCGATTATTCTTTAAGTCACAAATAATACTACATTGGAAATTAACAGCCACATGGTCCCAATCCCTCGTCATTAAGTACTCACTATGGTCACACTATAACACCCCTAATAGTTGTCTGCTTCCAAATTTATTCAATTAGAGAAATATTTGAAAATCTAGCCATAATTCACTTGTAATTTAGGAAATGTGACAAATTTTTTTCGGACATTCCAAAACAGCAATTAATATGATTCAATCAAACAATCAAATTTCCTATGATATCACACCCTTTAAACCAATTAACTCAGTAACTTCAACCAGATAAAACCGGATATAATTTTTCAAAAATTCCAGAAACTTGAAACAATAAAACAAAATGAAAGAGAGAGAAATTACAGAGAGTAGGGATGTAAGGAGAAGGTTGATGAACATGAACAAGGCAAATATCAGAGTTTCGGAAAGTACGAAACGTCCATCGAAGCAAAGAAACGGTCTTCTCCTCCGACCTTCCAACAGCAACATACACTTTCTCTCTCCTCGTTCCATCTTCTTCGATGTTCGTCAAACTCGAGCTCAACTCGGTCCGACTCGGTTGCCGTTCCAACTCAGCGCCGTAACTCGCCATTGAGAAAGAAGGTGAGGAGGAAAACCGGGAGTACCGGTCAACGGTTGGGTCAGGCAAGGGGAATGGTGTTAGAAGCTCCATTTTATAGCGTAGAATCCGGTGATTATTGGCATCAGCACCGGTAGCAGGTACATAAGAGCAAGCTTGATTGAAAGGAAAAGGGAGACTTTTGGGAGTTTAGAAGGATGACTAATATGACTTCTTTGAGGATTAAAAGGAGATTAAGGAAACAGGAAATGTTGTTATTAGTTTATACTTCGTAATTGATTATTAAGAGTATAAGATTGATTAGTGACCGAATCAAGAATTAGATATTAGTTGCTCCTCTTTTTGTTTATGGTGAGGTGAAGTGTCATTTTCAAGACTTGCATTTTTGGGTGGAAGGAGAGGCAAAATACAATATTTCCTCTTTCTTTCTCAACTAGAGTATATTGACTATTTTGTTCGGCTTTGTTGTTCTGTTGTCTAATAATTGTCGATTTGTCGTGGAAGAATTACCAAATTTACTAATTCAATTTTAATTTAAAATTGACAACACTAATCACCTATTTTGACACCTTTTTCCATCTTTACAAGTTGAGGTAGAAAGTTACTCGTATCATAGGTCTTATGTATTGATAGGACGTCGTCAACCTATCAAGAAATAAGACCTAACTCGATCCTACTAAACTAGTAGCAAGGGCAAGAAAGGGTCGAACCCATGAGAGGCGTTGAATCAACCACCAAATGTTATTGTTTAAACAAGCTAGATTAAGTCGGGGGTTTTAAGTTGGTATTACGTCACACTATTCTAATTCAAATCAACTAATTCTAAGAGGTGATTAACAATATTAAGAAGGCCTAGGGCATGGGTTACACCACTCAACTTCATCACGGACCACAAGTAGCATGCATAGAAATGGTGATTTAGGGGATAAATTAGGGGAAGTTATCAAATGCACCCAACTACTCTCTCAAGCTAGAGGGATTACTTGACATCAAAACCATAACCTACTCTCGTGATTATGGGCAAGAAACAAGTGTTAAAACATCCTCACGATAACATGCAAATTCCCTTGACTAGAAATTCCTATTCTCATGGCAAATCAAGTCAATCAAGCATAAGGGAGCTTCCTCAAGTTCATCTCTCGATCCTTCGTTGAGGAAGCTAGATAAATAATTCAAGCAATGGCCAATTACAAGAATTAACAATGAAACCTCTTAAACTCAACTAATTAACACCCCACAATTAACAAATTAGTACATGCAACAAGTGTTGGTGATTACATTGAGGGTTCACCCAAACCCTAGAAATTAGACTACTCACAATCCATGGAAGTTAAAGCAATTAAAGATTTCAAGGAATTCATGAACAAATTAAAACTAAGAATTAAGTAGAATCTAACAATTAAACATGCAAAGAACAACCAAACAATTAATAAAAAGCAAGAATTAAAGATAGAAGAGAGAAAGAAAGAGTAAGAAAAATTACTAGAAACTTCAATAATTGACTAACAATGGTGGAACTTGTCTTCTACAATGATTGGATTGAAAACCTTCAAAACAAGAACTAAAATCTATGCTAATTTGAGGATTTTTGTGTTTCAAACTAAGAGGAGTATGAAAATCTGGAAAAAAAATTGGGAACCCCTCTAAAATGGTCCAAAGGGGCTATTTATACTACCCCCTAAAATAAGAGGACGGAGAAAACAAGAAACGGGTAAACTGTAGGTCTGCACGGACGTGCTGAAGTTGGCACGTCCGTGCAGACCAAGGCAGAAACTCAGTTTAAGACGACCTGCTGCAGCACGGGCGTGCACCTTTGGCACGTCCGTGCTGCATCATCTGCACGGACGTACAATATTTGGCACGTCCGTGCTGCCTCATAATCACGGAAGCACGTCCGTGCTGCATCATCTGCACGGACGTGCAATATTTGGCACGTCCGTGCAGGCCTTGGCAGAAAGATGGGTTCAGGTCTGCACTCCTGCACGGACGTGCAACATATTGTACGGCCGTGCAGGGTCTTCTGGGCCCTTTTCTTCGTGTTTTCTTCTACGATGCTCTTGTACTTGGATTCTTTCCATCATTTCCTTGCTTCTAACCTCGGTTTGGTAACCATGGGCTTCATTTGGTCGTCTTTGGACCTAAAATCTCAACAAAAACACTAACAACCCGTGAAGCATAGGATACACAAAAATTGCATAATAATAGGGTAAAAGTGAACCAAAACACAAATTTGTTCAGGTAAACTAGGTTCAAATACGCCCTAAAACCGCATAAAATAGCAAGTTATCAAATCCCCCCAAGCTAAGATTTTGCTCGTCCTCGAGCAAACTAGTCATGACAAAACAAATAGAGGGAACTAACTTGTTATAGAAGGTTGAAGCAAAAGTTAAACCAAGAAAGGGTAGGCATACACAATAAACCGAACGATCACTTTTAGCAAAAGTGAGAAGCCGTTTAAACCTACAAGTCGCCTAGTAGGACGAGTCCATCTCTCGTGAGGGTTTCCAAAGAGAATCACCCACAACTCCCACAAACACAACACACGATTTTTTTTTTATTTTTATTTTTTATTTTTTTTTTATAGCCCAAGTCAACTCATCGGGATGTGATTCAAAAGCAAGACAAGTGAACAACATTCAAAAATCAACATCATAATAATGTACACATGAGTTAGAGACCAAGAAGGATGCTGAACAAGATTGCAATGGAACACTTCCTTAGGCTTTTTACTAGTTCATTAAAGCACATTTGCTCATTCCTAAGTCATAGCACATTTTTATTTTCGGTTATAAAATAGTGAAATACAAGTCCACCTCCCAAGATGCACAAACAAACTCCCTCCACTACACTCTACTATGAGATTTTTACAAGAGGAAACTAAAGATAAAGGGTGTGGGAGGCATCCACAAATTGACCTCAAAAGGGAAATGTAAAAAAAATTTTCATAAGATAAAGCCCTTGAATTTGAGACTTTATTTATTTGCTCCGCCTTTTTTGACTGTTGAGCGGCATTTTTTTTTTTTTTTTTTACTAATTGTGGTTTATTTTACCAATTTATTTAATAAACATAAACCTAATAAATCTCAAGCAAAGCTTTATTTTGGGAAGAGTGGAAGGCACACCAAGGGCACAAGGGACCGCAAATCAACTAAACATAACCTACTTCAAGTGTGCTTAGACAATTTCATGAACTTAATGTGCAAATGAACATTCATCGACTTTCATTTCATGTTCAAACCAAGGCAATCAAGTTTAATAAACTCCTATATGACTCCAACCCTTGCATACACTTTTCTAAGAGTAACTTGTCATTCAAAAGCGAAGCAAGTAAATCACACACGAATCGTCATATGAGTTTCATCCTTGGGCACTTTTTCATCATTTTTTTTTTTCATTTTTTTCTCTCTTTTTTCTTTTTTTTTTAGAAACCAGGCTAAACTAGGCATACAATAACTATACATCTAAATAAGGGATAGGAGAAGTATTCACAATGTAAGGGATTTGGATTTCAAAGGAAGCAATTTGGATTCAAAGGGTTTGGATGTTAGGGAAATGGGAATAGGGGCATGCAAATCAACATATACGTACGAGAACACAGCATGAACCAATGGTAAATGAGAAAATACTCCCCCCCAAGCTATCATAAACATTGTCCCCAATGTTGAAACAATATAAGCACAAAGAGAAGGGGAAGGAGATACTAACTCATTGGTTCGGGCCCCCTTGGGAGCTCGAACCCCCGGGGTAGAGATGCTTATATACATTGCGGAAGTCGCCCAATTCCGTTCGAAGACCCTCAAAGCTTGACCTCATTCCGTCGAAAGAAGTCCTCAAGTCTTCATTTGACTTCCTCATGGTCTCAAACTCGGAAGTCATGCGGGCGAAGTTCGCATTCATATTAGCCATCTGCTGCTCGAAGGTGAGGAATGGGTTGCCTTCACCCATGCCCTGACCTTGGTACCCCTCTTGGTACCCTTGTTGGAACTCGTACTGCTGGTGAAATTCTGGTTGTTGCTGAAATTGTTGTTGTTGTTGATGCTGTTGTTGTTGATGCTGTTGTTGCTGCTCTTGCTGCTCTTGCCCTTGTTCCTCTCCCTCTTGACCGGGAGCCCAAGGGAAGTCCCTCTCAAAGATCCAGTTCGCCTGGTTGTAGATGGCGGTGGCCTCGGGGTCGGGTAAGTAGGCATAGGGGCGCCTACTCACCAACCACAAATAGGGGTGGTTCCCCTCTACATCCGTGAGCCATTTCATGGCTCTCAGCGACTGCATATCCAACTGTGTTGGACCTGGAACAACCTGCTCTTCGAGCTTAACGTGGGTGTAAAACCCGCAAATGAACCTTCCTAGCCTTCCTTTCCCTTGCTTGAACCTTTTCCTTCAACCAATTGTTAAAATTTCAATCCAAAAGAAAACCCCCAAATTGATTTTTTTTCTTCTTAGGGTTTCGGTTAATGGGTGATTTTTGGGTTGAAGATTGGAGAAAGGAGTAGTATTTTGCGTTTTTGTTGAAAAGGAGTGTTGATTATGGTGGGAAATGTTGAATTTTGGGTGAGAATTTGAGTGTTTGAGGGTTGAGAGGAGGAGTAAGAGGGGTTAGAGAGAAGGAGGAGAACCGTGGGTTTGAGAGGAAGAACAAAAAAAAATTGTGGCTTTTTTTTCTCTTTTTTTTTCGAGCAGTTTCGGCCTTAAATACTTGGTATGCACGGACGTGCAGCATTGGCACGGACGTGCAGCTCAAGTCAGAACGTGCTTAACTTTCTGCCTGTAAAAGCACGGACGTGCCATTATCGGCACGGACGTGCTGCTTTTGGCACGGACGTGCTGTATCTTGCACGGACGTGCTTAACTTGGCAGAATACTTCT